TATATATAAATATATATATATATATATATGTGTGTGTGTGTGTGTGTGTGTGTGTGTGTATGTGTGTGTTTATACGCACGCACGCACACAAACACACACACACATATATGTGTATATATATATGTGTGTGTGTATTTATATATGGATATATACATATTTATTTATCAACATATATATATTCATATACGAACACACACAAAGGCCCACACTCGAATACATACGTGTATATACAATATATATTTTTGCGTGACGTTCGTGTGTATAGAACCTTTCCATAATATATCATTTCTTACTCATTATTCAAGTACTCAAAAATATTGCTTTTCACCCAGCAGCCAAGCACAAAAAAATCGCTCAGTTGAAAAGGAATCTATTATGTTCAAAAAGAAATAATTCTCATAAATACCAATAAAATGCTTTAGTAACATAGTAACTCACGTTTATTTGAATACGTCTTTAATGAATTCTAACCTTGTCCTGTTCATACATTCTGATTCCATTTTATGCAGCATATATACATAAGCAATTTTGAATCAATTTATACTGATAATGATAATAGTAGTAGTAATAATAATAATAGAAATAATAATAACGATAATAACAATAACAATAATAGTAACAGCAATAATAATAATAATTTTACAAATACTACTGCTTTTATTACTACTTATAATAGTGATAATGGTGATAATAATAATAATAATAATAATAATAATAATAATAATAATAATGATAATAATAACAATAATGATAATTACAATAACAATGAAAATAATAATGATAATGAAGATGATAATGCCAATGATAATAATAATAATAATGGTAATGGTAAAGATAAAAAAGAATAATAATAACAATAACGATGATATAAATTAAAATGATAATAATAACAACGAGAATAATAATGATAATACTACTAATAATGATAATAATAATGATATTGATATTATTAATAGTAATAACGATAATACTGCTAATAATCATACAAACGATGCTAATGGTAGTAACAATAACAAGTATATTTCTAGTGAACCAGTCTTATATTGTTAACAGGTCCTAATCTATAAGCAGCTACGAGAGCACATTGAGCAAGAAGAACTAAACTGTCTACCGGATAAGGCCCAGGATCTCGCTAAACTGGCTGAGGAGGATAAGTAAGAACCACACACACACTCAAACACACATGCATACATAAACATGACTGATCATGCTTTTTTTATCTTGAAATCTTGCTTTAAAATAATACAATATTGCAAGTCCCAACAAATAACAGATAACATCTAAATTCCTTGTGATTTCTCTATTACAGAATTCAAGAATACATGAAGACAGCTCAAGGTCTCGAGCAATACGGGAAAAAGTATTTTAAGTTGACCTCGGAAACTGGCGCACGTGTTGACATCACTTTAAGTCATTCGGGAATCACGGTTAACTGCAGAAACGAGTAAGTAGAATATCTATACGCCTGAAGATTACACTATATCGTTATGGTTGTGGATAATGTAGGTTACTGATCATGAATAAGGTGGGTTCTAAAATGTCAACAGCTATGCGACTTCTATAACACCAAGATAGTAGAGCAGTAGCATCGTTGTAATTGGTATATTAAGTATCATCTTTTCGAGAAACAAAACAATTATTCAGCGATTTCCCCTATGTATAAACATTAACAACTATTTCTCACGTACATTAGGAGCTTCACCATCCCCTTCAATAAGCTCCAAGACGTGAAAGCCGCCAATAAGAGAACGGTCTGCATCACCCAAACAGGGCGCGCGTCGAAACCGTTAAAATACAAGAGCGAAACACCCAGGTACTGCAAAGAGGTAGTTGAGGCGGCAATCAGCTATTTGGAGGTGTTCAGAGAGACGGGTAATGGTGATGAGGAGTCTGTTTCGAAGGAGGATGAGGTGGTGTGTGCCCCTGATAGTGTGGCTGATGGTGAGGCGATGGTGAAGGAGAACTCACCTCAAGGTCAGGACGGAGGGGATGTGGCAGTGAAAGACGGCAGTACGCCATCAGATGACCCCGTGGATGACGCTGAAAAGGAGAAAGAAAAATAAGATGGTAACATTGAAACCGAGAGGATGGCAAATAATTATATTACATAGCATATAAGAAATCTTTAACCGGATTTGAAATTTTATATCATTTGACTGACAGACTTCAGGAGCATTATATGAGGCTAAAAAGACAGTGAACTGAACACAACGCAAGTTACCACGACCCATTAGAATTAAAGAAAATATGATGATCATATGGCTCAAAAAGGGGAAAAAATCAAGCTTTTTGTATGAGTTTATTACCATTGTTAGAAAAATAAATATTATGTCGGTCAAACCTTAATCTGGTCCTTTGTTAGGAAAATTATTATCAACGAAATAATCATCTAAATACTCACCTCATAAGATTCTACTAATATAAATTTTAGGAAATTTGGCTCTAAACTAAATGAATGTACATGTGAAATGTTATTGCAAATAAAAGGAAAGACTATCAACACGGGTATGTTTTCTTACTTTATATTGTAAGATCAAATAGACTTTACATTCACTATTTCTGTGCAATACATAATTATTGTTTAGCATGGAACATTTACGGCGACAGTATTATTAATGAACATGTCTAATGTGTACTGGTTACGACATTTGCTGAAGTAAAATTAGTTCATTAAGTTTAACATCAGCATTCAGTGCATTTATGGTACACTTTACCATATTCATTTGTATGAGTATTTTGCTTGCGTTAGGAACACACACAAACACACACACACACACACACACACACACACACACACACACACACACACACACACACTCGCACACACACGCACAGACATACTCGCGCACACACACACACACATACTCGCGCGCGCACACACACACACACGCACACACAATTTTTTTTCTGAGGTTGTGAATAATTATGTAAATATACTTTACATACTTATGATATTGATCCTTTTTTACTATCGAGCAATTTAGCACTAACACTGATATAACTCAATTCGTTTATAAATTCTCTACCTCACTGTTGTTTGTCAATCAATCTGTCTGCCCCCCCCCCCCTTCTCTCTCTCTCTCTCTCCTAAATAAGATATATGGTATACTGTGAGGAGGATTTAAACTTACTGCACAAGCCTTTAAATCTAGGACAATAAACAAAACAAAACAAAAGACGCACTGCCCACTAGTAATAAGGTGTATATGCCGTTTTCATGCTTATGTCAGCAAACCTTCGCTATAGAAAGAAAAAAAAAAGAACCAGAGGGAAAGTAAAATAATTATTGTCTGATTTCTTCGCTGTACAAGTGTCAGTATATATTTCTTTTTTTCGAAAAGAGAGCGAAATTCTGTAAAAGAAAGAAAGAAAGGCGAAGCACTATGTCATATCATGCAGACTTTCTCTGGAGCGCAGTTCGTCTTATACTTCATGCATATGGATGGCTTTGAATTTGTAAAACTTCGTTAATAAACTCTGAATGTAGTTCAAGTTAGTGTATTATGAATTGGGACGATTTGAAACTTTTTTCAATTAGGAGAGCATATCTTGATTCATGAATGGGATATAACTTGGATAGAAATGCTTTAGTTATACCAAGCAGCAACTTACTCAAAGTACTCTCCTCTGCAGTTTCTGAATAACGTAGGGCCTACAAACTAGTGCTTTAGATTCTGTCTGTCTCTCCGTCTCTCTCTCTCTCTCTCTCTCTCTCTCTCTCTCTCTCTCTCTCTCTCTCTCTCTCTCTCTCTCTCTCTCTCTCTCTCTCTCTCTCCATCGCTTTCATTTTCCCTCCCTTCTCTCTCTCTCTCTCTCTCTCCATCGCTTTCATTTTCCCTCCCTTCTCTCTCTCTCTTTCTTCCACGCAGATAAAAAACACACACGTATATATGTACTTCATGTTTACACACGACAGAACGTACATACACATACCCCCCCCCCCCCCCGCTTACACAGATATTGCTTAGTTAAATTGCAAGCGTTATACCAATCACCGTTTTTATTTTTGCTGGTGTTTACTCCATGGTTTTGTTAGCCAGTAACCAAAATATACCTAGTATTTCGTTTTCTAATGTTATGAGCTATTTTTCTTTTCTTTCTCATATGACTTTACACTTCGTGAGAAATGCTTTATTTAAAAGACGGAATTTTCAGCCAGAATGTATTTTTAAATGGCGATTTAATTGCATACGTTAATTGGATGATGACAAACAATTTCATAAATTAAATAATTTCAGCCGGTTCACAGAAAACGTTTATCTCTGCATTTTTTTCTCTTTTTTTTCATATTGTATCTTTTCCCCTTCGTTATATTGACGCAACATAATTTCCTTTACCCTCTTTTTCTGTTGCTTTTAATTGCCTTTTTTGCTTGATGAAAATACAACGAACTTGGTCTGCACTTTTTTTTTTATCACACGTGCACACTTTTCATGACAAGAAAGAAATAGTGCACGTTGCTATTGGCTTCAAGCTGATACAAAGGTCCATTTGTCTTCATCCAGAGCACAGGAAGAGTTCTGCAACCAAAAGTCTAAAGCCGGTTTAGATTTGCTAACTCTGCTGTGTAATGAAGAGATGAGACTTATGCAGGTGACAGAACAAACAGTTTGTACCTAGACTGTAAAAGCCAAACTACTGCAATTTGCAAGAAGGTAATGCAACGTGCACGTTTATGTATGCACTGTGTATATTTGAATGTGTGTACGTGTATTTGTGTGTGTGTGTGTGTGTTTTTGTGTGTGTGTGTGTGTGTGTGTGTGTGTGTGTGTGTGTGTGTGTGTGTGTGTGTGTAAGAGAAAGAGAGAGAGAGAGAGAGAGAGAGAGAGAGGCAGAAAGAAAAGAAATATATCTCTATGAATATCATTTTAGCTCGATTCCAGTGAAGAAAACCATTCTCCTTATTATGTCACAAAAATACCAACAATCCCGACCATTTGTTTCTAAGGAAGCCACTATATTCAGCCTTTTTTATTGCAAACGTGTTATGAAGTGAATGG